ACGAGGCCGTTTCTAGACGCTGGTCCGGTCGAAACAACGGACGAGCTTCCTGGGGCGTAACACGGGAAAATTGGTGAAGCAATTAAAAAAAAAAATAAAAAAAATAAAAGAACGAAGGGAAAAACCGGGCGTGAGAGTCATTAAGCGATGCGCGCAGCTGAACTGCGAAACGCAAGCGTTTCACGGTGCAGTTGGCCGGTTCCGCTGTGTAAAACGAAGCGGACTTTTCCTCCGGAGGAAAATCAAGTTAACCACGGCCGGGCAGGACGGTGACTCGTCAAAGGAACAACGATGAAACTCGCCTGGGGTCGGGTGTATTCTCTCTATCGTCTATTTCGGCGCTGACTCGACAAGAAGACAGCCGGCGCGGCGAATTCGACGCAGCGCGGAGGAATTATTCGCTTATTAAGTGGCGCGCCTTTGCTCGCTACCGGTGGCCCACTTTCGACGGAAACGGCAGTCGATTCGCGTGTACAGGCTACGCAAACTCGATTGTCTCTCCCATCGGCCATCTAGTAATCGCGATTGGACGTACAATCGAGGGGGAGGGAGAGGCTCGAGGCGGAAACGAACACGCTCGAAAATCAGCCTGGAATGGCTGATTATTTGAAACGAGTGGACGTTTGTCGAATGCATCGTTTTAATGGGAATCGCTTTGCCCCCTCCCCCATTCTGGTTAAATTAGATGGAAAATACGGTTCTCTCGGAATCGATCGCGGCCACGATACGTCGTTCACTTTTATGTCGGCTCTCGATACGCCTGTAACGTTCCTTCTTCTGCGAAACGGGAACGCATATTAATATTTCTCCAACGTGTGTATCCTATATTTGCATCCTTCATCCATTTCCTGATGTTTCATCTCTCTTGCAAACCCCTCCCGAGTTTCTCTTTGATTATCGTGCCATAATGTATAAACTCTCTGTCTTTCGTCGCGTGCTCTTTGCGTTTGTATTATAAAACGATATTATCATGATGGAATACCGTTGCAATTAAAACGGCTCTGTCGGGATGCAAGGTACGACGGCGTTGAATTTTCCAAGGGATATCTCAGACTTTTTTTTTATAAGAATGGCGAGAGCCAAGCGCGAGCCGCTACTTGCAGATTATTCAGATTTCGCGCGGATTAAGCTCTCTCTCTCGTCTCTTCCGCCGGGCTTTTTCCGGATGAAATCCACGAACGTGCAAAATCCCAAGGCTGGACACCGCGTACATCCAATTAGCATCGCGAAACTGCTCGGCAGAGGTGTATAAAGGTCCAAGAAAGACCGCCGTCCATAAATCAAACGCATCGATATTGGCGTTCGGTTAATAAATGATCCGCGGAGCGTGGAAAGAGTGGAATCACGGTTCGTTCGTCTGTGTTTCCAGCGTGTCCAGAACGGTTGTTATAAACGATCCCCACGCGGGGAGTTCGCCTCTGCGGATGCTCCTCTTTTATCGGAGCTTTAACATATATTCTACACCAACGATTTCGACGGTGGCCCGATCTCTCGTCCGAGGGAAAGGGGAGAATTAATCGTTGTTCGCGGCTGGATGCAGCTGCAACGTCCCAGGGAATACAGAAACTTCTCCGTGAAGTAAGAAAAAAAAAAGCCACTGAATAGGGAAGCAGCTCTCGGGGGCGCGAGGAAACTCGTTTGAAACTCGTAAAATCATTTCGTGTCCAAGTTTGATACAATTTGCATGTACAATACATTTCAGCGACGCAACCCGTCCTCCCACTCCTGCTGTCTTTATTTCGTGCACAGCAGGATCCTCTTACGCGTTTAACTTCCGCTTTCAAACACGGCGATGGCTCCTGTACCGGTCTCCACGGCGACCGATTTTCCGACGATTAAGTTACATTACGCGTAATGACGGAACAAGGGTTCAAAGGGTGCTTTACCGTCCCAACCGCCGCAGCACCGATAAGTACTCGGGGAATGCGGTATTCTCTCAGGAAAGAGAGTACAACCGACAAAGGTATTCTCGTTGAATGTAGTGTTCCATTCGGCAGATGAAACGATAATTAACACCGTGGTCGAGGTGGGGGGACAACGTTTCGTTAAAAAGAAATCAATATTCGATCTGTGTCGTGCGTGAACCTCGGACCAGTCCAATCAATGATTAAGGATCGATCGTTGCGAGGGGGTTGTACCTTGTCACGTAAAACGACATATACCTACGTATTGCGTCGCGAACAAAGCTACATACGTGTGTCTTACCAAGTTACGCGTGTGGGTAGCTGCGCATCGCACACCATTGTCCTTGCCAGTCCTCGCTGGATCACCTATCGCACGATAACATACTCCGAGAGCGAACGATGTGCGACGGACGTTTACACGTCGGGGGCGAAAATTCACTTGTCTATCCGCGATCTTTCACAACTTCCCTCGCCGTTAAGAGGAAAAAACGGACTACTGAACTGCTCTCTCTCTTTCTCTCCTTAGCCGCGGGGAAATATCCAGCGATGCGGATATATCGACGGGCGCAGGATGTGATATCGGAGAGACGTGACACGTCGAACGAGGGAAACGCGGATAAAACGACACACCTCTGTGCCAGCGACGAGAGCCAGAGTTGATGCGGACCGCGGAAGGGAGGCTGCGAAACTGAGATGAAACCACGGCGCAACCCCCGGTGCGCGCGCGCACCAAAACCACCCCCGGAATACACGGAAGCAGCCCGGCCAACCGAACACTACCCCCCCCCCTCTCCCTCGTCCCACCCTACTTACTTCTCTCCAGGACCACCACGTCGACGACGACGACGACGACGACGACGACGACGATGCTACCGCTTCCATTTTTCCTCTCTCCGTCACTTGGTCGTTTTCCTCCCCCTTTCGGGGTTCTTCCTGCTGTCCGACCGCGGGAGATCCTCCGCGCGAATCAAAGTCTCGAAGGTTTTACGACTGGCTTTTCTACTACTTCTATGGGCGAGTACTTCCGGGTGGGTAACCCGTACGAATCTGCGAGTGGTAACGCGATTCCTTTGTTTCGTTGCTCCAGCTTCAATTGATCGATCGACCGATTTCGAGGTAAGTGGAGAGTCACGGGTCTTCATTGTGAGTGCAGGTGTTCGTGTTGTGCGGATACACGGAAGGATGAAGAGCGTGAAGGATCGTTGCTGAAAAACGAGAAGAAAGGTTTTTTCGGGGATAAATTTTCGAACGATGGACAGTACGGGAGGGATTAAACGGGATCCTACACGATCTTAACGGAGCTCGAACTGTTCGCGCGACGAAAGAGAACCGGACGTGACTCGCATCGCGAACGAGTTACAGTTGCAGTTTAATGCAGGGGGGAGGGGGGGGCGGACTGCAACGTTCGGTAGGAAAAAAATAAATAGAAAAATAATGAAACGAATTCGAGGTTTTACGTGCCGGTGGAATTCGCGTGAATTGAGCTCGCACGAGTGAAGCTCAATGACTTGCCGATAGAGCTTGAACAATGTTGCTCATTCCTGCGACTTTAATTGGCAATTACCGGCCTCCCCTATTGGCAAACTTGTGCTGTTTTAAATTCGGTTAATCGAATCGCGCCGCTCATAGCGATCGCCCACTCCGTTTCTGCTTCCAATTTCGCTCGGATCCTCGCGTCAACCAAATTTCCCGCTAAATCGCTAATCGACCGTCCCGAAAAAATGTTTCGAGCAAAAAGTTTCCGATCGCGGGAAAACAGAAAATAGTATTTTTCCATCGCGATTTTCGTGCAGTTCGGACTATGAAAATTTTACGGACGGTCCAAGCGAACGAACTCATTTTCCATCGCGATTTTCGTGCAGTTCGGACTATGAAAATTTTACGGACGGTCCAAGCGAACGAAACTCTTAGCAAAAAGTTTCCGATCGCGGGAAAACAGAAAATAGTATTTTTCCATCGCGATTTTCGTGCAGTTCGGACTATGAAAATTTTACGGACGGTCCAAGCGAACGAACTCACGATACGCGTCGATCCTCCGTACGGATATAATTTAAACGTAAATAAAAATATACGTTTCGTGAAATTATGAAAACCTATATCTATCTCGTACGCAACGGTAATTTATTTTAAAACGTATAGTTGTTCAGTTAATTACCATTCACTGAAGCTCCCAAATGCCGAGACACGGAAGCCACGAGAGTTTTCCTCACCGTTCCCTCGTGGAAACTTTGGCATCGAACCAGGAGCACGCGTTATTTTATATTCCGTGCCCTGAGAGCAAGCCGCTACAATCGAATAATCTTCCCCGATAAAGTAACCTTACATCTTTTCGCAATTTAAGGCGGTCGAGACTTTTCCGTGGCAAGCTAGGAAGAGACTCCGTGTACACAGGAAGGCTTCTCGGAGGAGAAACCTTACCCCGTAGCCGTTCCAAGGGATCCTTAATAAAAATGTACAGTCACGGAGTAGCCTTAGGTGGTAAAGATTGATGAGAGCACGGTACAAGGTACACGTTACCGGATACGCTTAAGCGGAGCATGCGGAGAAATTTTTCTTTCCGTCGAATTTGCCAGAATCAGTGGACGACGGTAACTTCCCTGGAATTCCAAGCAGGTCGTGGTTCCCATTAATTAACGAGCGGCCGGAAGGGAAGTCGGTGCTGGGCTGAATGAACGTAATCGCTGCTTCTAGACGTAGATTAAAATTTAAGGTGGTGCTCTCCGAATGGCTCGTACACCTTTGTCGAGCTCCGTGAGAGCTATCCTCTAACCATTATATATATATAGTTTCCGAGACGATGGAAGGACTCTGGGATCGCGTAGTTACTGGTCCATAAGAAATATGATTCTTTCGACTTTCGAGTGCCACGATAGCTGGCCAGGTAAATATCTTTCAGCGAAATCATTTGTACGTCAATCCCGCGTAGCGACGTGAAGTCGAAAAATGTCGAGGGCAAGTGTCGGAACCGATGAGAAATGCATTTTATGCATAAAGTTCGCGAGACGTTGAAACACAAAATGGTTCCTTCGCGATGACCTCGCCGCCTCCAGATAAAAAATTCATTCCCCTCGAAGCATTTACTGTTCTCCGAGGGAATCATTCTCGGGGCGTTGAAGCGCAGCTTCTCTCAATACTTTTGTCCATCTTCGTGGATTCCGTCAGGGCGTTTCCGTAATTACACAGCCTTCTATTCAACGTCGCCTCGAGCGCGTCCCAAGATGGCAATTCGTCTCCATTCTTCGGGTCCTCGAGGTTCCGTCGAGCGTCCAGCGTGCTCCAGGTCGGCGACTCCTCCCGACTGATCATCTCGTCGAATGTATTCCCCGCGATATCACGATCCCGGCAGGGAGGATCAGCCCGTGCCGGCGAGCTTCCTGAAATTGAAAAATCGATCGGCATATTGTTTGCACAGCATTACCAGATCTCGCGCGGTCGCGAAAAAAAATGAGACTCCACGAGAACACGCCCCGAATAAACTGGCTAGCGCGTCCGTATTAAACGATCGACTCTGTTGAGCCGAGGCGAATGCAAATACCAATTTGGAACACCGAGTGGAATAAAATAATTGGCTTCGTCGAGCGATCGGTGAGACTGTCGATACGTTAACCGAAAGCTCGATGAAGAACCGAATCGAAAACGCCGAACCACCGAAACGGACGAAATTATAGGAACGAAGGGAGAGAAAACGGAACCTTTGATCGCATCCCATATCGGCGTACGGTATTTCCTAAGAGTTATTGTCCCCGCGAACGAATCGATCGAAGAGCTCCACGAAGACACGGAGTTTGAATCACCCCAAACGGAAGTACGCCGTCTCGACAGCGCATTACGTCTCAGAGTGTCGTGCATTTCCTGCATCTCCCGTTCCAGTTGTTTCTGATGCTCCATGATGATGCGTCGTTCCAGAATACCCGGCGATAATCGCGGCGATGAATCCACGAGATCCGATTCGGGTCTAAGGCAAGGAAAAATGGTACACCATTATATGTAGGTACACATCTACGACTGCAGCAGCCAAGAGAAACCTGTTAGTCATTAACGGCTCTTTAAAGGCGACAATCTTCGTCGGAGACGGAAACATGTACCTGGGTCTGTAGATTTGTCTCGGTGAATCCGATGTATCCAGGCGACTAGTCTTCCGCGAGCTACGGGACCATTCTCTGGCGACTCGTTGCACCATATCCAACATGGCGAGTCGCTCATCTCGCGGCAAAACGGCTGCAACCTCCTGTAGTATCTACAATATCGAAAGTTTTCAGACACGGTCGCGTTCTATGGCTAATTGAATCGATATGTCTACGTCTACCGCGAACCATCACCACCACCAACTCGAATCGTTCATACTTCCGACAGAAATTTTCTCTGGAACAATAAAAAGAATTGCCACTACCCATAAATTTTCTTCGAAAGTTTCTCTTTATTTAAGAGCTGAACGAAGGATAGACAGAGCGGAAGAGCAAGAGGATTCTCATATCGTCTCGCGCGTTGGTTCGCGTTCGACGGAGGCTGGGATTAAACTTAGTTTGGAAGCGCAAAACGCATTTTCCATAAGCATAAGGGGCCCTCCCCCCGATTCTCGGGCTGTCGCTCTTTAAGTAGAAAGTTAGTTGGCACACGGAGAACGGAGACGAGGAGCAGGAGCCAAGAGCTACTCGGCGAGTATAGCTCGCGAGGGCGCTTCGGGAAAGTAAATACGTGTCCACTTTTTCCCTTTTTATTCGCCTTCGGTGGCTCTGGAAATACATACATCCCGAGTGCCGGGGACACGGGACGAGACTTTTTCTTCTACGTTCAAGAAACAGTTTCGTAGCCCGGTTGCCGTGCAATTCCTCCAGGGCAAAGGACCGAGTGAAATCGTTGAAAAATATATCATGAAAAATCGTTTGTGTACCGGAGATATAATTTCATCGCAGACATTGATGGTTCGCGTATTGACAGTTTGACCAAATTGATATACGATCGTCACTGCGCGAGACCATTCCCGAATAGAAATTGTTGCTTTATCAGTCGCGAGACAATTCCACTGTGGACGCGTAGCAATGGATCATTCTCGTCGCGACATAAAAAGTAGAATACACACCTACTATTCGTAACGAGAACAGTGTCCACATTCAAAAGATAACGTTTCATCGATACTGTCTCCCCAAATGACGGAAGCACGCAGCAACTGGAAATTAGTTGAAGGGAAAAGCTCCACGTGCTCTACACGAGGCTGCGAATAAACAAATCGGAAAGTACCATGACGCTACTTGATCCCCTGCGCGAGAGAATTCTCGAAATAATCAAGTCCTTGCTGGACGATAAAGTTCACTCGCAAAAAATACGCCAGGACATTCTATTTCGTCTAGAGGGATATGGAGAAAAAAACTTGACGATTTCAACAAAAAGTTTCAACGGAGAAACTTACCGTCCAACGCAATAATTGCTCGCGATCAAACAAAGTTGGCGGGCGGGCGCGATTGTGGATGAAAGAAAATCGGGTGACGAAGCGTTATCGATCCGAATCCTCTGTATGATGTAATAAAGAAAAACCTTTTCTCGTGAAATCCTGTCGCCCCGTGGAAAGCACGTTGCTTCGTAAACTCGGAAAAGCTTCGAGGATATGTGGTTGCTCGGCTGTCTCGCAGGAGATTCGACCAGAGAAAAGGAAGGGTCAGGCAACCACCATTTATTTGGTTCGGGAGAATAGCTCCGGACGTCGATGGCTTGGCCGATGAGAACGTTAATCGAGTAAGTAGCAACCTCAAGGCTCCGAACATTTATAAGAGAATTCCGTTCTAACTGCACCGTTCGGTACGGTTACCAACGATTCGGACAGAGTTTTATTGATCGTCTGGAGAAGTCCCGTTGGATGCCATGGATCCGGCCACTTTTCAACCAAAAGCACCCGCGAAATTGTTGGAATGTTTTCTCCTAGGAAACACCCGTCCGAACAACGTTTAACTTTTCATCCCGGAATGGGACTCGAGGAATGTGACGAGGGAGATCACTATTGCTACAGATTCTGATGTTTCTTCGTAATTCGAGGACGTACGGATTACTTGGTTGGTCGAACGTTCCTTCAACCGAAGAAAAGGTGATTCGGAGGGTTTCAACGTCGTGGAGATCCGTTGGTCGACAAAAATGGGGTATCCCTCTACCGACACCCTCTATCCAAGAATTTCGTTGACGCTAGTTTACGGATATCGAACGAAGGGATTGGCGAGGGTCCACCCGGCTCGCGAAAACTCGCTGACACCTATTAGATACAGTTTAACTCGATCCTCTGGCTCCCTTCGAATACTGATAGGTTTAAGGTCCTTCGGAGATTGGCTAACCTTTCGGAAACTCCCTTTGATCGGTGGACAAGATTCTCCGGGGGGAGAAGTCTCGGGAGAACGTAGCTCGAGGTACGAGAGAGCAGACGGAACGATATTCTTAACAGGCCGTAACAAAAGTTTCGGTTCTCGTAAGTGCAGGATCGTGTCCCATCGTTTGCATGACTTTCGTCCCTCCACCTCTCGTTGTTACCGGGAGCCGAAGTGGCTTCCGTCTAATTATCCCATGGGTTAATCGACCAACGACAAAAGTCTCCGCGGGATCTCGAAGAAAATTAGACTGTATTAAACTGCCAGATTGATGGATTCATAGATCACGTAGAAAGAAGCCTCCCCGGAGTTACCGTTATGCGACGAGCGTTGCACCGCCTCCCGTAACACTAAAACACGGGCTCTCTTATCGAGAGGTTCATCTCTTTTTAATTTTCTTCCTCCGCGTTGTATCGGGGCAGCCGCCGTCGTCATGCGCCACCCGAGGACGCAGCAATATTTTTCTCGGGGTATACCTTTTATTACGATTTTCCTGTTTTCAACGTCGAGGAAAACACGAAGCTCGTGTACATAGCGACGGGATAAACTTCGTTATCCTTTAAGCGTTCGCGATAAGAGAAATCTGTAGTTGTGTGCCACGATGAAACTCAAGATAGAGACGGAGTCGTATCGATAATTATAAATAACGAATGGAGAAACGATACCGCGTTCACAAATTCCATCAATGCGAGGAAGCACGACTATAACAGTTAGAAGAAACTACCGTCCGTAACGATACCAATGCTACCAGCAATAAGAAGTAATTGAACCGGCGTAAAATTGGAGGATCCAGGAGTGTATTTCTCGACAACAATCGATGTCGTTCGCGAGAGCATCGTTCCCATCGCTAGTTACACGGGGGATCGTTGTGGCAACAGCCGTCTTGTCGTTATTACGGCAACGGGATCCTTTGAAGTGACGTCGCAACAGAATTTTATGATCTCTCCGTAAACCGAGGTTTCACTTCGCAGGTCCTTCGCTGCCGGCTTTCCGGAAGCATTAAACCGGATTTCAGTCCTGTCGCTCGAAGACCCAAGAAAAACGGAAATCTGATTCGAAATCGCTTTGCTCGAGCTTGAAATCGACGCGAGGATATCTTCACCCGTCGTTAATTAGCCGCCGATTGAATCTAATATAATTAATCTCAGCGAACGTTCTCTCAAAGCGATTTCAGCGGACACTTTCACCGTCTGTCCTTGACATCCACGACGGGAAACAACGAAGATTGGACTACGACGCTGATCGATCCTGCATCACGATCAAACGGTTACGAGAGATTTAATAGAAAGAACGATTCAACGCGTTTTGTCGCCTTAACGGTCACTTACAAGCCGATTAAAAGTCAATTTACATATATTTGTCGGAGATTTATGCGAGATGGGGAGACAACAACGATAACGTGGCCGGAGAGCCGGTTTTCTTGGCAACGACGTGTGAGCGACGTTTAATTCGCGTTGTCAAGGAAGAAGTCTCCTGGAGGGAGATAAACGTTCCTTCGTCATACAGATGCACGTATGTGCATACATGTATGTATATATGTACAATACAATATATACATACACATATACACCACACGCGGCCATGCAGTGCATACGCCAAAGCCAGACAAACTCTCGTCTCGCCGCGCCGGTTCGTTGAATTTTTCTCGCTGTTTCTCCCTTCCCCCCGTCTTGACCGAGATTCAACTTCGATTCGTTTCCTTCCCCGTTCCGTTCGCTCGCGAATGCAAATGCTCGAGGTAGCAGAATAAATATTCATTTTCCGTGGTATCGATGCCTCTCTCCCGTATCACCTGACTGCCGATAACAGGAAACTGCATCGCTACCGGTGCTAATTGCGAGATAGGAGCGGTCGAATTTCTGGAGCAATTATCGGAATCGTGGAGTGGAAAGGAACTATTGTAAAGATTCATTCTGGACAAACTCCTCATTCGACTAGTAGAATAATAAACGATCCAACGAATGGCTCCGTTCCCCAGCTCAAGTTTTGAAGGAGGTAAAATAAATGAGTCTTTCGCCCATTATACGCTCCCGTCGTTTCTTTTTCCAGTGTCCTACAGTGATGCTGCTTTTAAAGAAACCCGACAAAACTCGACGACGAACGTTAGAGTACCGTGAATTATTAGACCATTGTTTACACAGTTCTATCGTAGATCCTCTTATATTTAGACCTATAAGATTTTCGAAAACGAAGCGTCGTTGTACCCCTATTAGCTTGCTCGAGGGAAGCCCTTAATGGCCAGTTCGATGGCGTACCACGATCACGAAATTGGTAAAGATCCTAGGCGGGTTTCCGCTGGCGGTCGTAAGACGGTTATCAGCGTGGCTATTAAATCGACTGCGAGCCGATTATAGAAGCGAGGGATAATAGGACGCGCGTTAAGGGAAGAAGCGGATCCGTCGAAAACGGACGGTATTATTCGGGGCAAGAGCGAAGTTTGCAGTTTCCTTCGACACCGGCTAGCATCGATATTATTGCCGTAGAATGTGGGCGTCGCGTAGACGTCGTCGGTGTCCCAACGTTCGTTTCCCCAGCACGGACGACGACGGCTCCTCTGTGAAATTACTGTCCTGGAATTGCCTGCTTCGGCTCGCTCGCTCGCTAGCGCCCGTCGGAAATCCGTGCTCGTCTAATCTAATGAAACTGCGCGAACTGTGTGTAATTAAGCCGCCGCGCGTCTGCCGCGAGGAATGAAAGCAGAGCAGCCGAAACCCTCGGCCGGGCAAACACCGGGGACGCGAACGACCGGGGAACGCAAGTTTCACCGCGGAAATTACTCCGACAAATAATCGGCCATCGAACTTGGACCGGATCCCCGAATGATATACTGACCAAGATGATCGAAATTGCGACGGTGCTGGTCTCGATTTACGTTCAGCGCCACCGCGGGCGACGCTCCGTCAGAAGCTTACTCAGATTACACACACCTCCCCTTGTCATTCGAAATACCATCGATTAATTGTAAGTTGTTTTCAAACCATGATATCTGTGATCGATTAACAGCTTCTAGGATTCAATAAAAATGTTCTCGTAATAAAAATCTACACACCTCCTAGTCACGATCCAAAGCTAAGCATTATTGAGATAAATAGGAAAACCACGGACGGAAGAAAATGAGCCGTGTTAAGCGAGAAACGTTCAGTGTACAGGGACAACAAAATGGTAAGTAGAATAGGTATGCCGGACCAAAGTAAACCAGAGACTCGAAACTTGAAGCATAAAGGTAAAGAGACGCGGAAGAAGAAGAAGGCAAATCCAGTCCGAAGAAATTACGCAAAACTACCGGAAACTCACCCTGAACTTGCCGATGGAGACCATAGCCGAGACTAGATCACCGGGTCCGCGATGTCGAGCCCGCGGTCTGCTCAACGACGCGACATACGTTAAAGGGCTGACGTTCCTCAATTCCGTGTGACCTGCAACACCTAACAAAAATATTGATTTTTCCCGTCGCGTTCCGCGTGTGCGTGACTTACATAAACGTAACTGCGATTCGGTGACACCGACGGAGGCGTCGGTGTCGCTCTTTTGGAGCAGCTTGGACGGTTGATCTATCACCGGGCGTTTCTAGCTCGAATTTTACGGTTCCCGTTACCTATGATATCCCCTCGCGACGTCCACGTAAATCTTCGTCCCTTGCAACACGTTCAGCCTCTGTCCTCTGTGGACGTCGCATCCCCAATTTCTAATGCCCCTGACGACCAGTTATTCTATGTACAAACGCGATTAGACGGGTGTCGCTGGTACAGCATACAGCGTGGAATCTTGAAGGGAAACAGCTTCTGTTCAATTTTCCTCTCTTCGCGTGAAATTCAAGGACATCGATTCGACTAGTCCAGGAATCTGGGATTACGACATTTTCAAGTAATAAAGCGATGTCTGCCGGTCGTTGCGACCGCATGCTTAACTCGTGCCGCAACAATGGGACCGTACTCGGGAATGGATTTTCATTGAATATCTCCGATCGACCGGAAGGCTGTGTGTCCCTCGCTCACTGTGCACTATGTGTCGTGTCCAAACCCCCCCCACCGAGATAGCATTGGGTTTTAGGGTTCGTAGTCACATAGGACGCGAGCCAAAAAAGCACCAGCAAAAGGTAATGCTCTCGTGATACCGTCGCGTAAATCTTTATCGAACGGATAACTCGGAGGTTCTTGGAGGAGACGCGCGTGAACGCGCAGAAGTGAAAGCTTCTGCTTCACCTACGCCTGATCTTCGTACCTGGGGAGATTGATCTCCCCCCTCGGGCGATTTTACGAGCGTGGGGTTACGTGCGTCGCTGGAAGGCAATTAACCTTTTTTTTTTCGGGGGAAAGAATAGGAGGAGGCTCGATACGCCCGGAATACATTGGAAAAATCTCACGTGGGAAGGAACGGGGGCAAGGGAAGCGGAATTTCTTTCTGTCGGGTTTCCCACACCTGGGAAAGAGAACCTACCAACCCGAGTGTGTTCGCCGCACGCAACACTGGGTATAATTAATTTCAGCCAGTGTTATTAGTCGCGTGGAACTTCGGAGTCGACGTTTTCGGGACCGGCGAAACTTCCGTTGGGAAACTACGAAACGTTTTTTCCCCTCTCGAGCTTCCCGTGGAAACGAGAACCGACGAATCGTGCCCGAGAATCTAATTAATTCCCTAAACTCGAACTCGAACTCGAACGTTCGCCCACCCACCCACCCACCCCCTCGAAGCACCTTATTATGCCGTGACAAGTTTCTCCAGAGTACAACGGAACCGAGAGCCACTGGAAGCTCAGCAGTCCTTGCTTAAGTTTGTATCTTAATACCTGATTTAGTGGAGGGGCTCCCGCGCGCTCGCCGTAATTACCCGCGTGCCATTCTCCCTCGTCTCCTGGCCCTCTCGCCGCGCTATCGATCCATGTGGACAGGCCGAAATTATACGGTAAACGGGATCGACGCGGGAAACATTACAGCAATTTATATAACACATTTCCATTGCTCTCACCTTTATTTTCGCAGGTGGAGCCGCCGTTGCCGCGCGATTCCGACAGGGAATCGAGTATTTCGCCGGCTCTCAAATTCATCCTTCTTCTCCTCGCGATCATGCTAACGTTTCGCGCCTTGCTCCACGTGGAGAACGCACTGAGTGCCTTGTTCTCGGTGAATGTCAGATTGTACCCGAATACCTTGTCCCCGAAGAGGAAGATCAACCTCAAAGTATTCCCGGAACGTTCGATCATCTTTGTCATACTTTCCGCCCAGCGCCAACCCTTCGACAGGAAATCTACGATTCCAATAGCTGGTGATATTTCTTGTGTTACCACGGATCTACAGAACGCGGACAAAGATTGCATCTCGGTGGCGTAAATCTCTTGCTTGTTTCGCCAACAGGCTGTGTACCAGCCATTCTCGTGGAGGTTGTAGAAGAGATTGCTCAGGTAGGGGCGCAACACCGGTTCCAGATACTTTGTATCATAATCCATTCCTTGAATCGAAAAAATATAGACAGCTGACGTAGCAACCATTATTTGCATGCAAGCATCATACTCTTGCCTACCGAAATATAGCCATTGTAACAGTATTTTAGCCATTATTGTAGGAGAATCCAGATCCATGCTAGCTGTCTCTCTATCCCTCCTAACGACGTCGATCAAAAGTTCCACGGAATAATCAAATTGGCTGGTGGTGTTATAATGCTTCCTTTTTTTCAAGTTCCGACGATGTTCGTCTGCCCTCGTGCCTCGATTCGTCGACGCGTGAATCTGATCCTTTGCCTGCGTCAAGACCAACTTCAACAAGAACACGAGCTTCTGCACTTGTTCGGTCGTGTGATAAGAAAACTCCGGGAAGTTCCGGTAAGAAGAATTATCCAAGCGATCCTGCGGACCACAAAAAGACGGTAATTCTTTTATTCCCGTTTTGGCGTAACGATCTCCAAGTCCGTATTCCTACCTGCGCCGAAGCGTCCTTAGCTCGGAGCACTTGCTCCACGATCAGACTCAGATATTCCAATTGTCTCGGGTTGTACCCATAATCCGCGTCCGCGGTGCCCCTGGGCAACGCGAATACGATGTCTCGCCATCTGACAATGAGCTCGCTCTCCATAACATCCAGAGGTCTGGGCGCAGCCGGAGTCATGGAAAAAGAACGGTGATGCAGCGTCTCCATATAGGATTCCAGCAACCGGCAGTCGGAGATATAAAAGTCCTCGTGATGTACTATTCCACCTTCAACGAACGAGTGCAGAATTACGAATAATTCCAGGGATATTACACGATGTTTTCAAAGCACGGGGCTACGGACGATCGAGGCGGAAGGAATTCAAAGAGTTGATCGTAACATGTTTCACGAGTTGCTTGATTAAATCGCGACGAGATTAAATCGTGAAGATCGTTCAGGGCAGAGGTGTGTGTCGTGGATTGAACGGACGTTCGTCGATACGAACACGACCCTGTGAAAAACGTTGATGCGATCGAAGTGTATCCGTCGAACAGCTTGTGGACCCGCACAAATTGCCGATACGTTCGACGTCCGCGATAATGGTACGCGTCGTTATCGTCACCAATTAAGGATTTCCATGGAAACGAGACGATTCCGCGTTGCGTGCATGCGTGTGCGCGCCACGGCACGATATTGATTGTCGTATGAAAGAATAACGACAAAAAGGAAGGATGGATCCCCGCGCGATGAAAACAAGAGCCCCGTCATCCGACGTGTCGCGCAGCTTTTTTTTCCTCCCGCCGCAAAAAACTGAATTACCTCTCGCGCACTGCAGCATCACGTTGCACCGCGGCAGAAAGTAACATCTCAGGTTCTGGCATTTCAAAGCGGTGACTAACTCGTCCAGCACTAACAGAACATGACGCGAGAGGGTATCGGGCGCCCAACACGTCAATGGATCTGGCCCTGCTCTTTCTAGCGACCAGCGATACATCGTCCTCAGAATGTGCCGCGAAACCACTCGGAGCCGATCCTGCGACGAAGGATCCCTCTTCCGTGATGCCTAGAAAAACCGTCCGAATATGTTAAGTAGAGATAATAGAACGTCCATTGAGATTTCAGCCAGTAGATCCAGACAACTGAACGTCCGTTAGTCGTTTGCGATCCACAGAGTAGAGAGAATAGCATATCGGGTGGATGGGTAGGTGGGTGTGCGCTCGACGGGATGGAAATTTTTTCAGATCGATTCAACTTTTCTCATTACGTATTCACCGGGATGCTGCGTGTTCGGTTACCGCGGGCTTCGTCGGATAAATTATTGCCGGAATCGCATTCAGCAGCATTTTTATTAAATAGCCAGGACTCGACGCGACGGCGCGTCGGCGAAAGAATAGGTTTTCAACGTCGACGCCGAGATATCTGAAACGCTAGGGGGATACGGAAGAAAAAGGCACGCGAAGAGAAGAAGTCGGTCGGCAGGAGATAGCTCGATGTTTCGTGAAATAGGCCAAAGAATCGAGGGATCGCGTGAATTCGAGAGCTCCGCGCACCGCCGCGGCAGCCGGATACGCGAGGTGAATTATTGTCGAGGCGTCCCGTGAAATCAGTCGTTGTCCCCGTCGAGGCGCGCAAAACGTACGAAATTCGCCTAATATTCCCGCGGATGAAAATGTCAAAAGAGAAGAAAGCGAGGCCACCGGGAATATCTCCACGGTGTGTCTGTCGACCGAGAAAGGGAAACAAATGACACGTTCGACTGGATCGACGAAATAAAATCCATCGGGAGGAAGTGCATTTGTTCCGTGAAGAATCAATTGGAAACGGCATGCCGTTGCGCGTGTCGAACCGACCAAAATATACGTTCGAAACGTAAAGTGCCATCTATACTTTTGAGTCTAAATATCAGGAATTGATTAATAGAACCTCCGAGAAATCTAGACAGGTCGAAGACTCGAGGAAACGTCAGAGTACCATTTAGTATCTTAGAGAAATACTGTGTTCTACCTTCGACTTGATCAGCGGATTCAAAGCATGTCCTTCGCGCAGCTGGTGCAAGATTTCGATGAGCACAGACTCCGTCAGGCCGGGTACACTGTCCGCAGCGTAATGTTGGCTCATAATTTTCTCGGCCGCCGGAACACGTATGCCCCAGAGAGTTGCTCGGTCTTCGCAACGTGCACCAGGATATGGTCCAACAGCCATGGCGTACATACCCTGAAATAGTGACGACGAAATGGGGTCACGAAATAAACGGGTCTACCGGTGAAGAAGAAGAATCGAAACACGAATACTCTGTGAAAGTGAAATCTTTTTATTCAGAGACATCCTGAATGTCGCTGAGACTCTTTTCGAAGGTCTGCAATGATTGCCAAGAACTATCGAGCCGATATACTATGCTACCGTCTTTCGTTGTCTCGAGAAACTCACGCAACTGAACATTCGAATAATGTACTCACGCTGTGCGCCACGGTGTAATGAAAAAGAGCATCGCAGTGATAAAGAGGGACTCTTTCAGGATAGTCGGCCGAGCTGGGCCAAGATGACAACCCTATGCCGACTAATAGTCTGACCTCCACCTCGCGAGACTTGCATCCGTCCAATGCGATTCGCAAAAGTATTCCCCCGGAGTCTTCGATCAGCGCCACTCGATGATCCTTCGGTTCCGGCAATGGTCCATCGGAAGCAGCTACAAACACAGTTTCGCGACATTAAGCACATCCGGCCGTTTCGGCTTCAATTAGAATCCGCGGTGTTAAAAAATCGCGTCGTTAGCCAGGCCTGTTATTTCCGAAGGACAACGATCTCCGGTTGATTTACGAGGCATTCTTTAATCCAGTTACACGTAAACCCGGCATATTTCGTGGCGCTCGTTATTCTAAATCCCCTGCAGTCGTTATTAAGCAACTTTGCTCGGGCATCCGGTTCTGATTTATAGAACACTCGGTGTATATCGAATTACCGAGCCTGTCTCGCGCGTCGGTTATTTAATACAGAAGGGGACACGAGGGGTGGACGAACGAGAGAGTAGAGGGGTGGAAAAGGGAGACGAAAAGAGGCAAAAGACGAAAGAGGACAACAGGAAGAAAGTTCGAAGACTCGCGCGCGCAGAATGCTGGATGATAGTATGACATTGATAAAAAGAGGGAACAGGGGTGAGGGGGGGGGCGGTAGAACATACAAAATGAGGAATTGGACTAGATGATAACGAGGCAGTGAGCAGTTCGTTCTTGTTTACGATTCCTTGGTAACGGGCCGCCTTTTGTTGGCTGCGGAGATAAACGCGTGGTAGTAACTCAAGATGGGGGAACGGTTCGAGGCTTCAGCATTATCCGCGGCAGGAATTTATCGTACACTTTTATCGTCCTCAATTAACGGCGGCGTTTCAGTTTCCCAATAATTCAAGAATGTTACCGGCTCCGTAAAATACCCGACAATGGTCCGGTTGCTTCAGTATTTTGTCGAGGACCTCGGCGTCGACCACTTGCCCCGGTGAACCACAAGCCTCCTCATCCTCCTCCTCCCCGTTCGTTGAACCGATGCTGTCTGAAAAGGAAATAATTCCATAGATCGTGTATCGAGACCGGAATCCATCCGAGAGAACCTGCCGTGCATCAACTACCACGTTTAATAGCCACAGCCAACAAATTTGCTAATTTGGCTTTCACGAGATCCCTCCTCAATCTCCCTGCGCCATCGGCGTACTCCCGCCAGGGCTTCGCTCCAGTGCCGAGTAGCTTTAACCGAATAAAGCCCGGTAGACCTGCATCCTCCTCGACGCTCACTCTCGAGATTTCTAGCTCGGAACTCGAGGTCGGGGTAGACAGCGCGTCTATTCGCAGCAAGTATTCGAACCTGAGCCGCTGAAAAGGGCAAAAACAAAAAAGAGAGGAGAAGCTGATGCGAGGATCTTTGCGCCTCGTTTCCTGAGGAAATGTTTCTAAACTTCTCAACTTTTGCGGCGCCGTTATGACTCCAGCGATTCAAGTGTATCCCTGGGCCCTTTACCTTCGTCCGTCGCGGCTCGTTCAATGAAACGAGGAACACTGATGAAAATCTCCGATCGAGATTACCAACGGCCAGCATCAAACGTTGAACCAATCTCTCGACGATAGCTTCGATCGCGGTAGAGCTCGAGGAATCTGTAACACAGACGTTCGTTGGACGTTTGAATGGAAAAAAAAATCAGCGAGCCAAGGCCGCGTATTGGTTCCTGAATTCGATATCCACGCTGCTGTTCACCAATGTGCAATCTTTCCACTACGGCTCGGATCGAATCGACACACGAAATTTATGTGGTTGAAACTCGTTAGATATTCACCGTTCTCAGCCTCCTCGACCAGTTTCCGGAAATACGTGTTCAGGTTATGCAGCTGACCCTTGGTGAAAGCGAGTTTCGTGGACACTAATCGAATACCGCCCTTCGTGTAAGAAGGTCCACTAAGTGTACAGCCCATCCTCTCTCTGAGAAACCAAAGAAAACCAAGGAAAATTGGATTTTACGCATAACCCCGCCCGCTGCCGCGCGTCGCATATACATGACCATCGCCGTGTTCAAGTTAGAAGGGGAAAACGGCAGATGAATTTAGAAACGCTTCTCCGTTCGACTGGAAACGCGTCGGTAGAATTTGATTCCCCGGGCCAATAAGAATGATTCCAGTAAACAGAGAAGCGAACAAGAAACGCGATAAAACACAAGGGAGAATCGATCTTCCGAAGCTTAATATGAAACGTTCGTTAAATCACGCCACTCTCTCGCCTCGCGTACTTCACCGTCGTATAGTCGGACGCCCCGGGAACTGTTTCGAAACGGTTTAAGGAATTCCTTGGGAATGCACATTCCGCTTTCTCGACGAATTCCGCGCATAGGTATCTGTCGGCTTGCTGCGATCGTGACGCGCAACCCTTTTTTCGCGACCTCGCCGAGTCTCGCAATTACTCTTATTGTAAGTCTTCGATGAAACGTTTCGATCAACATATACTATGACAAGGACCACTAAACAACAAAAAGACATTATAAAAAACTTGTAGTGTGCTTCGTAACTGCGAGTTTCATGGGGCACGTAGAACGCGTCGTGCCTCTATCACGAGCAAAAACGAAAGGAATCGATTCGATTTACTGTTAATACGTACGCACCAAACGACGACGAAGTCACGAGCATAGATCCACGACAAATACTGAACGAACGCTATATCACGAAGCAAAGCCACCAGGCGACGTTTCCATTTCATCCGGAAAGATATTGACGCTCTGCTGTCGTGACCATGTAAATGCGTCGAGCGCCAATTATTATGCAGCGGATCGACTAACAATACCATCGCATCGCAGTGTGTTCGGCCACCGGAATCACTTCCGATCCTGATTGTGTGCGCTCGACTTCCGCACCCGTGAACGCGTACCCCTCGCCTTCTACATATACATTATTTCACCATTACCGTGTGTTCCTCTCCACTTTGCCTAGATGCGTACAGGATTTTTAACGACACTATAGAGAAATCCGCAGATGATGATCTTCCCGTGAAAAAATTTTCATATGATGATGATCTGAAACAGAAACTGAGAGGATTATAACAAAACATTCTTATAGATTGTAAATCATTCATTCAGATGAACTTGTAGCTTGATTCTAGGGTGAAATAAAAACTCAGTGAGATTGTCATTTCAATGAACAGTTAATAATTTATAATTGTTTACCGAGCATTAATTCGACTCTAGGATGATTCCTAAAACAGAAAATTAAACAGAAAAAAAGCAGCCTCGTAGGGTGCTCAATCTGTCCACTCCTTGAATTTCATTTACTTAAAAGAAAAAACCGTAAGTGGACCATTCATTTCTCCGCAACACTAATTTATTGAATAGGATGTGACAAAATCCCGAGAAACAGCCACACTGGCGCTTATCACACGCAACACTAATTCTTTGTCAATTAATATCCAGATTGTCAAGAAACGCGAGAGGTGTTTCCTTTGTCCGCCACTCTAATTTACTAAATGTAAAAATGAAAAATCTCCCGTACACCGTCTTCTCATAATACGCAACACTAACTTTAGGTTGATGAAATTAGTGCAGCCACCTGGGCTGTCGTGCACCACTCTTTGCAGCTCTATCAGCTGCATTGTGGTTCTACTGTGGTTCCAGCACTGGGCATTTCATCGATCGCAACCCGTGATCTAGTCTCATCCGCAACACTAATTCAATCCGCGATTTAGCCCAATATTGCTGGTCGTTGGGCCGATATAACGGCCAATATACAAACTACTAAGTCAGTTTCAATTAGCACACAATTATCACTGAGATAATTCCGCCCATGTGATAGATTATTCCTAACGAAATCACTA